GGCTGCTTATAAAATTTAAATAAAATAAAGCTGGGCAGTCGCTGACATACACGTTCCAGGGAATCTGGCGAATAATTGGAGTATGGCATCTAGTTCTGTAATATGACTTTATATTGAAGAAAAATAGTGTTGGCAAATATTTTTCAGATAAGTAACTACGTTTCTTTGTTTGGAAACGATTTTCAATCTAAATTATACCTTTTAACAAATCATTAATTTTTTTTATTCCACTGTTGCATGATAGATGAGCAGTAGGGGAAAAACACGTACAAACATAAGAAATGATAATAACGTTGAGGTATAACATCTCTAAATCAGTAACGATAAGGAGTGAATTCATTGACTAGAACGTTCACGTAACATCACAACTTCTACGAATGTTTCTGTGCTATTAACCTCTTCCTTAATTACACAAATTATCGGACTACTTAAATCATTGAAACGAGAAATTAGGTAGCGTTTTGGAGCCTCAGGCAGTTTTTATATGGATAATTGTAGTGGTGTCTAATACATCAGTAATCGTAGCAGAGGTACGATAGCAAATGAAGTGATGAGCGAGAGCACGGATGAATCGTTACAGAAATCGGTTCCTTTACAGAAAAATGCTTGTCCTAAAAATAAATTCTAGTTATGTGGCAAGAATGTATGGAGTTGGCTGAGCGAAATCTGGTCCCCAGCGCTAGCAGATCTACTTATAAGTGCTTGCTTGACTAATATTTGCACTAGATTGATCGATTTTTTCAAATACAAATTTTCCAATTTCAAACTTGCGACGTTTAGGATGAAGATTTGGGGACCAGGTCTCGCACATTTTTTCAACTGTTTGCCACTATTTCCTCCTGATGATTTTAACTCACCTTTTACTTTTTCATTATTGACCCAATAAAGTTGCATTTCTAGTGTACGAACTTTCATGGAAGCGTCTTCTTCATCATTATTTGTGCAACCTTTCACAATCATATCGTGTTCTATAAGAATACAAATTTAAGTGATTTTGCATTATAGGAGTTGGCTTTACCGTATGCTTACCTTCATCCACTAACTTGAAACAAGAACCACTACAGCAAGTCAATCCATGCCTACAATTTTTCATA